CAGCACACGTGTACGACCCGTGTGCTGTCAGCCCGATGGCTGACAGTATTACAGTGCAGGACGACCTCCACTGGTACAGTAGCACAATACTGTACTATAGTATGATAACTTCGATTGTATATTGAATAGGAGGAAGGGCGCCGGCGGGGAGAGGACCAAGGAAGCTTGGTCACGATCCACGACCGCGGCGAAACCCTCCAGCTTACTCTAATTAGGCGACACCTTCGCACGCCTTTTTAGTTAGGGACCGGCACGGGTCGGGTTGCGCGACACGCGAGCGAGCCGGGATCCACTTCCGCCCGTCAGCGCTGGTACGTCACCCAGCGCTGCTCCGGGGCGTTGAGGCGTCGATCCGCTCATGCGTGCGCGCGACCTACCCCGGCCCGCTCTACCACACTGCTACCGGGCCCGTGCCCGGTTCCGTGAGCAGGAGGAGTCCCTCGTCTTCCGCCGATCAAGGGTCACCGTCGGACTATTAGCAACACCCCTCCGCCGTTGGGGGTGTTTATGCTACAATAACGGGTAGATTGTAGGTGGCACATCCTTCAGGGATTCAATCGTTGATAGCCAAATGTAACCTACATAGAGTGACCTCAATTGATATTGATAACGACTTGAAGTGATACAAATACAGTAGCCTTGTCTAGTCAATAACTCTAACGCAGTCCAGCGAGAATCCAAGTTGAAATAATAAGGTGGTTTCGTCTAATAAACTAAACTGGATTTTGAAAAGTTGATAATTTTGGGCGTACTAAGCGGCTCTAGAGGTGGGCTCACTTTTGTTGGGATGGCTCCTGGGATTAGCAAGTGGATTGTGGCTGCCTCCCCTCCGAACCCCCCACTTCACGAACCCACACGTTTCTTTTATAGAGACTTTTATGCACCCGTACTGCACTGAAAACAACGTAGAGGACCATGGCCATGATTTGTCCAAGTACACGCGTGTTTAGACAATTCTTTCGTGAGAATTTCTAATTACACGTGCGTTTAGACAAAATCTTCTCGTAGGGGGTCGCATTTCGTGACGAAATAATTGTGACAAGTGATTTGAAATGTCTCCAAGAAAATTCAAATCCTTTGGCAAAAAAGTATTCTCACATATTCCCAGAAAGTCTAAAACATTTGAGTCAAACCAGAAATTCTGAAATGTAGACAAAAAACATCAAACTTTTAATCAGTTCGGCAGATTGTGCGCAACCTTCTTATAGTACGGTGATCATCACACGGAGCAGCACCATAGAGGCACGATATATCATATATTGTGCCTCTATGGTGCTGCTCCGCGTCGTGCCAGTTGCCAAATCGCCTTTCGCAAACGTGGCACCTGACGCAGGCGGTGGGGTACGCCGCTGCCGCTACAGTGCGACGATGAGCTATCCCTGCTTCGTGGGCTTGGGGAGGCACTGCAGTACGGCGCTGGTGATAGGGCGGCAGCGGTCAACGCAGCCACTGCGGCGAGGCGGCGTTTTTCTAAAACGGCGGGGTTTTGCCTAGGCCGCTTGACGCGTCCCATAAACTACCGCGCTGATGCGCCAGGCGTACAGCATAATTTACAGTACGCCCCAATGTATAACCCCTCCTGTCAAACTTTACAGTAGTAATGACAGCGAAAATTAGGGAAAAAGTAGTTTTTTGTAAAAACTCTTGATTGTCAGTACAGTGGGACAGAACCAAACGGGGCGGCGATCACTTAAACTTTCTAGTGTTGGGAGTCCGACCAGGCCGGGCGGTTCGTAGGGTAATTTGGAGGTGTGGGTAAAACGTGGCAACTCCTGTTACCAAAGTAAAAGGGAACAAGGAGGCTATTGCCATAGAACTGCGGTGGGGTGAGTGTCGGGAGACCGACCGGGTGGGGCGGTCCGGCGGGGTGGTTGGTATGACAAAAAGGGGCGGTAATTAGAGTTACTAGAGGGGAGGATAGAGCGGCAGGCTATTGCCTCGAAACCGCTAGCGACGGTGAGCACGGTCGGGACAGGGTTGTCGGGTCGTTGTTCAGATGGGTTCAATGTGCTGACGTCGAAGACGAGTAGCGTCTTCGACCTGGCTTTATAGTCCTATTGACTCTACAATAACAGTAGGCGCACTACCATAAAAGGGAGGTTGCGCCACCCATAAAATGTCTCTAAGCGGTTACACCCTGAACAGGTAGAATTTGTAGGTGGCACGTCCTTAAGAGACTCTATTGTGGATAGCGAAATGTAGCCTACATGGTTTGACCTGAATTGATAATGATAAGCTAATTACAGTGACTACTCGTCTAGTCAGTTACTCTGACAGTGAGCACGGATGGGAAAATTTGTGGGTTGGTCTTCGGTTTTTCAATGTGCTGAGGTCGAAGACGAACAGTGTCTTGGGCCTGAATTTATAGTCCTATGGACTCTACAGAGATAGTAGGCGCACGACCACAAAAGAGGGGATGCGCCACCTATACACTACCCCTAAACAGTCAATACCATAAATGGTACGGTGTAGGCAGCATAATCTTTAACGGATCTTATTGTAGGTATCTAAATGAAGCCAACATATTGTTACCTGAATTGCTACTCATAGAAAAGTAAAGTGATTTATACGGTAGCCGTCCTTGTAGTCCCTGACTCTATCATTCCGCTCCCGGCGTAAGCTGTAAATGGGACTCCTTACGGTTGTGCTTCGCGCTTACAGCCGAGTCTACTGTATGCACGGCCGGCGCCAGAGGTGGAGTCGCCCGTGCGCAGTTATACTTCCTTCTACAATCGAAGTTGCTTGCATGGACAATTGTGTTCCCATTTGAAAGTCAATTCCGTCCTTCGTGATCCACACCCCTCTTGACTTTCATGGACAGCGTACGTACACCACGGCGTCGTCGAGTTCTACTCTCCTCCTTGAGTATGGCAAACGATCTGCAAGTGTCATCGATGAACTGGAACACATCACCTGATCCCGGGCCTGCAGGCGCTCTATAGGTTCGAAAGTGACGAAGCAGTTCGCCCTGACGCTCGCGCGCGCGACACCAGTGAGATATGTAGAGGACTTGAAAGAGATGAGTCTTCAACACACCGGGAGGAGACAAAAGAAATGTCCACATCGACGAAAATATGTGCGTCGGTCGCGATTACGGAGGCTGGAGCACGCTCAGCCGCCGGGATTCGATTCAGTTGTTTGCCGGGCCAACAGGTGCTGCGTTGTTGAGGACTGTATTCCGACCGCAAGTAGCCCCGAAAATATCGGATTCCATAGCTCTGTACTTAGGTTACCGAGGGCGCACGGACGAATAAATAGAGGGCCCAGATCTGGGGAGGGGCCGACCCCTCGGGGGTATCTGTTACACTCTCCTTCGACCATCGCGCAGCGCCACCGCGATCCCCTCTCTATCATCAGCTTCCTTCCTCCTCCTTCAAAATTTCAACCAAATATCCTTGGCCCCTGCGCACGACGGGCGTTCCAGCGGAGCTACCCACATAGCTCTACATCCAGCCACCACAACTATAAATTCTAGGTCGCCCGGGGCAGACAAAATGTCATGGAAAATAGAAAAGCAAGAACAAGGACACAAAACCGCAAACGAGCGCGATTTGTCTGCCAATCCGGGCCGTTAATTCTTACTGTAAATACTTTTAACATTTTCCGACTTCTGCGACAGGTTCTCCCATGCTGGTTCTGCTTATCGAGAGAGATAAATGTACACTGTACCACTGCGCTAAGTCCATTTTGAAAAAGGCGTGTACATATGCCTGAAACATGCAAAGATATCTTTAGGCACGCAGGGCCTCAGGATATCTTTTTGAGCGTACCCAGGAGTAACCCGTTTACTCTTTTTAGTGTTACCGGATTAGCTACAAGTAATACATAAAAGACAGACACGGGCAACTAGCGCGTGGGTCGGACCGGCGCAGAATTGAACGAAGTGGTCGAAGGGACAACACTTGAGAACAGCGCTCCGACAGCACAGAGATTCCTCAGGGTCTTGGAAGTCGGACGTAGGCTTCTACGGACCTTAATAAACTGTTCAAACTATTTCCTTTCGTTACTGGGACGAAATCCCGCCCGGGCGGGACCTAAGTAAAAAATTGACATTTACTAGGCCTATAGGCCTAGTAAATGTCATTTTTTATAGTAAATGTCATTTTTTCACTTAGGTTTTTATTTCCTCTTTTTTGTTTGGCTCTGTGTAAGATTAGGGTCTCGCTCAGCTCCCTGACCGTAGGATTTTGAGTGTAAACAGGAGCTGAGCGGGTTGATGACGCACTGTACGTGACGTGCGCAGTACAGTACACGTCACTCCAGTGCTCACCTCGACCGTCAGGTCATCCTCTTGGCAACTAAAATGGGGACTCTATAGAAGAAATAGTCCCCGAGGACGACCCGATCAGCCTCAGCAGGATTCTTAGGGGATCCGGTAAGCGACTGGACCATGGTGACAGAAAAAAGAGCGAGAATTTGGTAGGGTTTAAATAGGAAAGTTTGTTTTTAGTATCGTCTAGGCTAATGTAGCAACTATCTCGACTTCTATAAAGAGTCTGGTTCGGAGCAACGCAGAAGGGGGAGAGGTAAGCACAACCACGGATTAGGCACCGGAGCCCACCAACCGACTAAACCAGAGCGTCAACCGAACCTCTGAGTCAACCCCCGAACACAACCACCGAAATTCCGAAAGTAAGTCGAGAATATTCCAAACCTGTGAATTATTTTAGATTTAGAAGGCTACAACAATGCTATGTGTAGAGAGAAATATATTTTCTACGTTGTTTGAATTTCGCCAACGTGGCGTGAACAAGTTTAGTTGTGATGGCAAAAAGGCCCTCTTAAAGATACTTACGGGCCACTTTGAGTAGAAAACGGGGATTTTAGGTGGAAAAGAGCAGATAATATCCACAACTAGAGTAGTATATAAGAGCTGGCCGCTTTGTAAACTTTAGAACCGGGCACCGACAAACCCCTGGGGAATGAGGGCTCCCTTTTAGAGGTGAGGACAGCGGAGTGACGACGCGATACGACCCGTCTTGAAACACGGGCCAAGGAGTCTAGCGCGGGTGCGAGTCGGAGGGTGCAAGCCCGTGGGCGAAGTGAAAACGAGTGTAAAAACGAGCAGTTTGGGGCGGCATAAGATCGTTGATCTTAAGACCGACCCAGAGCAGTTGCGCTGGGACCCGAAAGATGGTGATAAGATGTAAGGGATGCAGCGGCTTTGGCCGTTGCATCCCTTACATTGCTTTACGTGGCTCACTTTCCCTCTTGGGGCAACAGAGTCCACAGAAATCTAAAAATAACTACTAATGCTTTGTGACTAAAGTCTCATAATGCCGGCCAACTGGTGCACACCAGTTGGTTTGACTTGCATTTCGTCCGCCTTCACGTGGCGCGAGTTGTCAGTACTTCTATTTCAGGAGGAAGCCAAGGGCGATACCGGGTGATTGGACGGCTCCGAGCCCCCTACTGAGTGTCTGAATGTCTTTGAATAATTCCAAGTCTCTGAATGTGTCTGAAAGTTGAAATAAAACAGTAGGGGGCTACTTAGTAGCCGCCCATTTGTTTGCGACCAATTCCACACACGTGCCCACGTGTGGGATATCAGCAGCTGTCCAATTATCCATTTCCAAGTAGCGCTTGAGCTCGTCGAAGAAGGGGCGCGTGTGCACACTTGGGACCAAGGCACTCATGTACCAAAGGACCCCGATGTGCTGCGCGGCTCTGGACAAATGATTTGCCCGAAGTAGTGGGACCACAGAATGGTTCCCTGTTGTTGGTACTTTCCGTTTCCCCATTTCATTAAAAGCTTTCAGGTCTTTGTTGAGAAGGTCCTGAATGAACCATTTTCCAAGTGCCTGAGCCTGAGGAGCTGAACCAGCCTGGTTCAGTCCAGTCTTTTGTTGCAGCTCCTGTAATAGCGGAAGGGCCGTGAGCGCTTCCGTTTGAGCAGGGGCTGCGTTTACGCTAAGTTCCTTAACTCTAAGTGCGAGTAGGAGCTTCACAGCTTGGACTTGGCGAATTGTCCGAAGCCGCGGGAGTTGGAGCAGTGCTCTTCCAACTCCAAAGCGGTAGGTTCCCTGTGTGCGAACGCGCAGGATCCACCTAATAAGTAGCTCTTCCAGGGCCATAGCGGCGTCGTCCACTTCCATTGTAAACGGTTGTGTATATAACACATACGTCACCAACGAGTTGATAAACGTTTGGGCGAAGGTCCTCTTTTGAAGGTACGTTAGATGAATCGTTCTTGTTTCCCGGATCATCTTGTGAGCGGCCCACCTAGCATTTTGGAGCCGCTCAATGAGTCTATGGGGCGTTACCCCGGAGTTAGAAATTGACACCCCGAGGTAGGAGACCGTAGATTGGTGCTCCATACGCTTGCCGTTTATCCAGAGCTCTAGTGGCGGTGGGGCTTGGGAGACCACGAGGCTCTTTGTGGCATTCCATTCCATGCCGTTGGCTGCGGCCCAGGTGTCTGCTGTGGTGAGTAGTCGGACCATCTGCGGCCAGGATCGCGTTAGTCCTACAACGTCGTCTGTGAACCCAATCACCCGCGTTTCCGCATATGCATTAAGTTGCAGTAAGAGGGGGTCTAGGAATAGGTTGAAGAGCCATGGACTGAAGGTGTCCCCTTGAGGCACGCCCAAGACCACGTTGGCTGTGGCTGTGCCGAGTTGTCCTTGTGTTGTGATCGCCGTCCTGTGTAGTAAGGCTTGGATCATGGCACACATTGTCGGATCCAACCCGTTTCTGCATAGTTGTAGTAGGCGGTCCCGAGGGACCAAGTCATATGCAGATTTGAGGTCCAACACCACACCACAATTAAAGCCACTGTGGAGGGATTCGGCTGCCATTGCGATGGCCGTTTCCGTGTTAGAACCAGAGAGGAACCCGAGTTGCCTAGAATGGAAGCTATTTGTTTCCATAAAGATTAACCCAATTGCCTTGGAGATGGCCTTCCGGATGACCGATAGCAGCGTGATCGGTCTATAGTTTAGAGGATCGCTTGCTTCTCCTTTTTTGAATAGTGGAACGACCAGTCCCGATCGAAGGAGCTTGGGGACGTAGGCCAATTGGCCGACCTGTGACCAAAGGGCTGCAATAGAATTTGCTGCCCTAGGAATGTCCAGCTTGAGCATTTCGGCGGAGATCCAGTCCGGACCTGGGGCCTTGTTGCGAGCCATCTGGGCGATTGCAGACCGGAGTTTGCTCTCGAATTGAGGAGGTAACTCAAAGGTCGTGGGACGAGGGCTAGTGTCCAGCAAGGGTTGGCGGGACTGGATAAACTGAGCAAATCCGTCCGGGTCCAACGCCTCTATTGTCCGCGGGTCACTGCGGAGTCTCCTGATTGCGGTCATGACGTCCACCGTGTGGGTCAGTGGACCTTCGTTCACCGTGTCCAGATGGCAGGTTCGCAGCTCGCGGCGTCTCTTGCGAACTTTCCTCCGGATAGCTTTATCCAACTTGTGGATTTCCGCCTTAAAGTCCGGGGTTAGCGGAGTTTGGAGTAGTTTAGAGCGTAGCTTTGCCAAACAGTCCGTCGCATAGGTCCAACCAGGGCGGAAGCGTGCTGGTTTCTGGGCGAAGTGTGCTAGCCAAGGTTCGAGGAACGTTTTGACTAGCTTGGTGGTTTCATATTCCAGAGATTCCGGAGTAGCACAGGCAGAGAGGTTGCTGCTGCAGCCTGGGAGCCGTTGCAGATAGGAGGCCCAGACCTTTTTTCGGATATCCAGGTTGGCGAGTATAGAGGAGGGGACCGCCTTGGAGAGGCGTGGTGGGGTTTCCCAGTAGACGAGGACAGATATGGGCCGATGGTCCGAGAGAGTGGCCCAGTGGCCCTGCGTCAGCTGCGGTGTGCCAAAGGATATGCCGCGCCCAAGGAACAGGTCCACCGTACTGGAACCATGTCGTAGAGGGTAGCAAGTGGCTTTCGCAGGGGTGGCAACTGTGAAGTTCAGCTGAAAGGCCCATTGCGACAAGAGTCAGCCTTGTTTTGTGGTATAGGTATCCCATAGCCGGTGACGCGCGTTGAAGTCTCCCATGATGAGGGTCATCCCGCGGGCTAGGCGTGTCATGTGGAACAACAGCTTGTGGACCTCAGCTTCTGGGGCCCTTGGTTTGAGGTACGCCCCAATAAGCGTGAGGCCCCGGTGCCGACCCACAAGTAGTTGAATGTGCCGGTGGGTGATATTGGCCGTTTCGGTGAATTCTGTGCTAGTGAAAAGCATACAGACTCCACCAGCGTGGCGGCGAGCTCCTACCGGGCGATGACCGTGAGCAGAGTGCATCACGACCCCGTCTGGGAGGGCGAGAGACCGGGGTTGCCAGATATCCGTTAGGCAGGTAATCGATGGTGCCTTTGTGAGGGAGAGGACCGCTGGGGTCTTTGCAGTGGTCCAGCCCCTGATGTTCCAGAGGGAGAACCTCATTCCTGAGGGCCCCCTGGGCGCAGAGCTGGTGATTTAGCAATAGATGGAGCTGGGGCTGCCCGGGTCGGAGTGGGACCCGGTTCCCTTCTAGCACTCTGGGCTCGGTCCGCGTTCGTCTCCGAGCCCGAGTCCGAGTCGGAATCTGAGGGAGCGGGTGCGAGGGTAGGATCCAAGGTTTCGAGGGCCTTGGCGTTGGTCTGGTACCATGTAGTAGCCCCGGGGAAACGAGAGTTCTCCGCACACCATGTCCATCGACGGTGACAAGAACGTCGGTGGGTAGTTGCCCGTTCGTTGGACCCAGTGGTCCGTAGAGTTCCCCGAGGGTTGTATCGTTCCAAGTGTTGAAACATTAGCAACTTCATTGTCGCGATGAGGCGGTCGACGAGTTGCTTGTTGCAAAAGGATCTCCAGGGCCGTATTGCCTATGAAGGAGATCCCAATAATCACCCACTTTGGTAGCGACAGACGAAGCGCTCTGCGCAGGGCCCCAATTGGCCCCCGCGGGACGCCGCCGAAGTAGACTGCCTCAGGAATTGGCTGTTTGCTGGGGCTTGAGAAAGCCTTCAGCGCCAGGCGGGTCTGTTGTAGACGGGTCTGAAGCGAAGCCAGTAGTGCCGTAGCGGCCGGCTTCTTCGCCACCTCAGCCCACGATAGGCGAGGTTGGCGGAGAGGGGGAGGTATAGGGGCCTCTGGGTTGGTGGTCAGAGCCCGCGCCAACCCCTTCGAGGTAGTGGACGGAGCCGCAGCCTCGGTAGTTTCTTCTGGCCCGGTGGTCGGAGCCCGCGTCGGTTCCTTCGGAGAGATGGTCGGAGCCCTCGTCTCTCCTGCTGCTAAGGTGGTGGTCGGAGCCCGCGCCACCTTCTTCCCAGGGGTGTTTGGAGCCCTCGTCCCTGAGGCTGCTAAGTTGGGGGACAGAACCCCCGCCTTCTTCGATCTACCAGCTGTGGTCGGAGCCCGCGCCGGAGCGCCTGCCACACGTGTTTCTGGGAAGAGAGCCCGCGCACGATAGGGCTTGGAGTGAGTAGAGAGGGGAAGGGGCCGCGGAGGGACCGTCATTCCCGCTTCAATCAATGTGGACCGGAGGGTCGACACATAGTGTTCCAGTTTCTTGTGATAGTCGTCCGCCTGTCGGCGGAGTGTCGCGTGGCTGTTCGAGGCGATAGTGCGTTTCGCGCTGCGCCGGACTTCGGAACCGCGGGCTAAGTGTTAATTTCGTCTCAGAGCGTTTGGGCCCGCGGAGCCCGGCGTACGGGAGGGGGTTGGAGGAGGTCGAGGGTCTGGTGACAAGGGGCTGGGCTGGAGCTGGAGGCCTCAGAGCTCGGCCTGAAGGAAGGCTGTGGGGCTTCCGACGTACTCAGGAACCCGGAGGAGGTCAGCGACTTGGGGGATTCCGGAGGTCCGCCTCTTTCTTTGGCTGATGGTGAAGACCGTTCAGACCCAGACGAGCTCTCGCAATCTGCGGAGGCCGTGGAGTCTGACTGAGAGGGGCTTGAAGCCTGCAGAGCAGTGTCCTTGAATTTGGAGGGCGCCCGACCAGTGAGCGCGCGACCAGAAGCTGGGGCGCCGTGGTGCCCTTTCGTAGAGTTGAATTTGGCCGATTTGGATTGCGTCCGGCCAATGGGCGCTCGATCAGAATTTGGAGCGCCAGGGCGCTCTTGCGTGGAGGTCGGGACGTCCCCGTCATTGGCCAGCATGGCCACAAGCGGGAGTCGCCTCGACACGCGCGGATCGCGTGGAGGCGTGTCGCCCGAAGCGCCCACAGTCTTGTCCATTTTCTTCGTCAACTTCCTTGCGGAGGAAGACGG